GGAGGACTCGACACGAAGTTCACCGTTGCGTCTCCACCTCTACGGTCAGGGCTCGCCAAGCACCACTACGCTCGGGTCAAGACGATCAACGAGAAGCTCAAGAGGACCAACCAGACTCAGAACGTGAAGCACACCAGGAGTACGCCGATCATCGGCCCAATCCTGAACGACAACTACGGCAAGGAAGGATTGCTCCCCGCCAAGTTTAGCAACGTGATCGGCGACCCAGGCGCTACAAGAGTACCTGGAGCGGCAACCGCTGCCATCCACTACACGCTCGACGTACACGGCAGGTGCATCCTGAACTATTCCTGGAAAGCGGGGCCCACGTACTTCAGTGCCCACGGGCAGGCCACAAGTCTCGACTACATTGCAGTGCCTCACGGCCTATACTACCACAATACTTCTTGCAGAGTCTGGTGGCGAATGATTAAGGCCCCCCCACTCATCAATTACAACGTGCCGCGCGACCTTGTCCTGCCGTCTGCAGCCGCCAACGTCATCATCCCGAATGTGTTCATCGACTTAAAGAGGACCGCCTGGGACTACGACAAGACGGCCCTGGCGCTGCAGAAGGGCAAGTACCACAAGGAGTTCAATGACGTGGCGGAGTTCTACTTCGGCAAGCACCAGGACAAGCTGAAGAAGTTGGTCGGGGACAACACAGTGGACGAGCTCGTGGGGCTCCTCGCGATCCTCGTGAAGGAGACAGCCATGCCCGGCTTCGAGCGCCCGAAGTCCAAGCTCGAACTGTACCACAAGCTCAAGGACGAACGTCTGCGGCTACCCCAGGCGTGCACCAAGCTCAGAGAGGAGTACTTCGGGACCGACCCCAACTACGAGATCGAGTACCACATCGAGGTCCTCTCACGAGCCCTCAAGAAGCAGCAGCGCCAGCACGAAGCAAGACGTCAACTCCTCGAGGAGCGCGCCTACGAGGCTAGGCAACGACGAGAACACGCCGAAGTCCTTCAACAGTCTCGCATCATGGCCAGCTCCAAATACGGAAAGCGCAACCGCAACTACAGCCGCGCGACCAGAGCACGCCCCAGTGTGCAGGAGTGGGTAGTTCACATTGCAGCAGACGGCCAGCACGGAGGGTTTAGTGCTCGCCAGCTCGACCTCGAGGAGGAACAGCAAATCTCGAAAGAGACCTCCCGCGAGTTCACCACAGAGCACAACCTACAAGTTCGCCAGGAACAAGAGGACGCCAGGGACGGCATCAAGCGAGCTATCTACGGCGTCACCAAGCGGCTCAAGTACTTCAAGAAGGGCGCCCCCGTGCCAGACTGGATACTGCCCGCTGAGATCTTCCAGATAACCTTCCAGCCCACCTACTTCGCCAAGCAGCAGCCGAAGTCGACAGGCGTGGGCTACGATGACGAGCTCGCCGAGCCCCCCTAGTGCAGGAGAGCTTCGAGCCAGTCCTCAACCGCGCGTGCCGCGTCGGCTTCAAGTCCAAGCCGTGGCCACTTCCACCTCCTCAGGCTCGCGGCTGCTGGCTTCATCAGTGTCGCGAATGCCCCGCGCGCCAGCAACGCGGAGGGGAAGCCTACCAGGCCAAGGGCGACCCCAAGCTGAAGAAGTCGCTCACGGAGATGATCAAGCAAGGGATGTCCAACACTCAGCAGATCGCCTGGGTCGTTTTCGCCGACTACAGCACGTATCCGAAGTCGGATCAGTCCGAGGGGATCAGGGCGCTCCATGCCTGCAGGAAGCTCTACGCGGACAAGCGCAAGGAGGCGGGCAAGGGACGGTCGCCCGCTTCGCCCCCCTGCCCCGCGGACGTGGGCGACAACACTAAGAGCAGTCTCACAGAGCACGGGAAATTAGTGGACCAGTTCAGTGTGGAGACAGACCTCTACGAAGTGAAGCGCCTGAAGCCCCGCAAGTGCGAGGACAGCTACCACGCGAAGTTCACGCTGTATCTCGTGCAGGGGCCCAGGGCCTTCGACGAGGCCGAGGAGTTTCCGCAAGAGGAGCAGAAGCAGCAGTGCAACACCAAGGACAGCAACCACAACGCGCAGATCCAAGTGGGAGCTACGGCGAAGACGGATCAGCCTCTTATGGGACGAGCTGGCTGCGTGGAGGGCAGGGCTATGACTACGAGTATGAGAATATGGATGGCCGATGCGACTACGCCTCGTTCGGCAAGGTGATTGGCGTGCGTGGCGCCGAGATCACAATGAAGGTGCCGCTCTGAGCGGCGACGGCGGGGGCTTATCCTTGCGGCCGAATGCACTGCCTTGCCCCCCAATGCCGCTCTATCTACCTCCTTCTCCTCCTTCTCCTCCTCTCTCCTTCTCCTCTCTCCCCTTTTCCTTCTGACTGCGCCACGGTGACTAAATTATGTAACCTTTCGGCGCAGCACCAGGTGGCGAGAAAACACAGATACGCGGGGTTGCGCAGAGGTGCTCTGCTGCACGAAAAACGTGTTCATCAGTTTCGCGTTTTCCATACCCCAGCGCATCGATCCCAAGAGGTGATCGAGAGTCTCACAGGGCCCGAGAAGAGGATCGCTATAGGAGCTCAAGCGGCGGCCTCCTTAGCCAAGCAAGCCCTCCTCCTCCATCCTCAACCTCCTCATGTTCTCTGGGTTCATCGCGTCCGTATCTTCTGGGTTCATTGCGTGCTTGGGACATTTAGTTTATATTTCAGATTCTCTTTCAGTACATATACTTCTTGGCTGTTACTTATGTTCAATGGGTTTCATGGGACTCAATGGAAGTCTTCTTCACTTCTTACTTACTTTAGACTTAGGGACCTTATGCCCTCAAGGTCGGCTCCAAGAGTTACTCAAGATATTGTTAATCAATTTGGGCATCCTTCATTACCTTGCATTACATTTCTCATTTTTCCCATCTTCATTCAACGCAAGAGAGACCTTGTGGTGGGATTCATTTGGGATATTGGACAGTCTGTCATTCATGACTTCTTTCAGTATCATGGGTTTCAATCCTGGGCTGGGCTTCACCTTTCCCCCGCTTCCTTCCTCTCCCGCCTCTCCTCCCGTTTCACTCTTTCTCTACCGTACGCATTTGGCGTATTGGTGGCTTCTCAGGTTTGTGTTTTGGGAGAACCGACCTTTCAAGGCGCTTCATCATCATCATCATCATCATCATCATCATCATGTTCTCTTTCAAGAAGTTAGTGATCAGCTGGAGAAACTCATGTTCGCGGCCACCGTTATGGCCAAAGTTTTGTGCGTGTTCCCTGTCCAGAAATTCGAGAAGAATCATAGCGGACCGAGGTTTAAGTTTCTTAGGTCGGGCGGCTGGCACCACTGGGAAACTCTGGATGGCGGCCGAGCCAGGTGTATTCGATGCCTTCATTTCTTTGCTGATCCCGATCGTCGGCCTATGTTAGGCTGTCAGGGACCAAATCGCACGTGGACGTGCGCCTTGGATTTTTCTAAGGGCCACACTCTGGCCCAGACCCAGGTCTCTGGTAAAGATAAGGTCTCGTGCATGATGTTTTGTGCCACCGGTGGGGCGTATACTACCCATAGGTGTTTTAACTTGGGCCAAAAATGTATCGGAAAGAAACAGCCAGGGGCAAAAACCACGCTCCCGCGCATTTTGGCTGGTTTCCTCCCCACTACAGAAATGAAGAGGAGCGTGTGTCGACCTCTTCCAGAAGGGGGGTCCGTTATTTGTGTTTTGCTGCAAACACCCCAGCCTGCCGAGCTCTCCTCGCAGGTCAGAGGCGTGGACGGTCTGATCTCGACACCAGGCATGTTGGCGATTCTTTCGAGAGTTCAAGTACGCGAGCTCGCGAGTAGTTTTCAGCCGCCAGCTCCAGACAGGTGTACCAGCTGCCTCGTCTACGCTGCCGCCGAGCTCGGGCACGGGTCGTGCCAGCTTGAGAGCGGCAGCAGTAGATCCAGGTGATGATTTTGCCGCAGAGGAGGAGGATGCCGCTCGGTCTCTGCACGCCTCTGCCCCGCCCAGATCGGGGACCCTGCGGCCTGTCCGAGCCACCCCCCCCAACGTGAGGACGAGGATCCACAGATCCATGAACGTACTGTGCTGGGAGAACGTCCCAACTCACACCCGAACTCGGCCGTGGCGGCCGTGTCTACCTCTCTGCGATCCTCCTCGTCAGATCATCTTTGCCTGAACGCAGAGGTGCGACAGCACGACGAGCGGGCCAGTGGCGTCACTAGGAGGGGAGAGGCATGGCTCGGCGGCGCGCCGACGGGGGGAAGCGAGAGGGTGCAGGCCGTCTCAGATGGCGGTGGGGCTTCTCAGAAGCCCTCTGCGCATTTGGAGAAGGCTCAGAACGCTTCTCCGAAGGCCGTAGGCTTTCTGAGCCAAGGCCCACCCACTCTGCCTTCCCCCTGGGCGCGCCGCCGAACGGAGAGAGAGAGAGAGAGAGAGAGATGGAGAAATAGAGAGAAAGAAAGAGAGAGAGAGAGAGAGAGAGAGATAGAGAGAGAGAGAGAGAGAGAGAGAGAGAAAGAGAGAAAAACAAATAACGAAAACGAAAGAGAAAGAGAGAGAGAGAGAGAGAGTGATATGGAGAGAGAGAGAGAGGAGATCAAAGCGAGAGAGGGAGGGTAGTCCAGAGTGCAGGATCTCGGCCCGAGAGAAGTCCCTGTGCCGCCAAGATGTGCAGACAGTCACCGGAGGGGGAGCTAGGAGGGAGGGCGACGAGGCGGCGAGATGCGAATGCGGCGAGGGAGGGATCGGTGCGGAAGAAACGGAAGGAAAGGTGGGGTGAGGAAATCTATTAGATGCAGCTGGTGTCGGCTCCGCTGCCACGCCCTTTCCTCGATGCACTGGCGCGAGAGGCGCCAGGAAAATCACCGACGTGAGCTGATTCGCTACCCCCTTCGACCATTCCCCCCCTTCTCTTTCCGTCCGACCCGAAGGGAGGGAACTGTAGCCGTCCTGGCTCAGGGCCGCAGCGGAAGGGCCTGCCCTGCCCATCCAGCCCCTCCCCCCCGCTGGGCAGGGGCCACGGCCATGGCCGCGGCGCCAGACGCGGCTGCGGCGGTCATGGCTGCTGCGCCGGCCAACAGGGCAGCCAAAACCGCAGGGTTTGTGGGATTCGTGCCGCCCACTGGGGAGGCAAAGGATCGGGCGGGGCAAGGACCAAGGATAAGCGTTCCACAGCGTTCTGGAGCGCTCTCATAGCGTTCGGGAGCGCTCCAGGACCGCCGTAGCTCAGAGACCTCCGATGTATTCCCCTCCGATTTTGTCTTGGTCTTGGCTTCGTCTTCAAGGAGGGGAGGGGGGGCAAACGGAGAGACGCGGTGTGGGAGGACGTTGAGCCTCAGTAGCAAATAGTCGTGACCTTGATCTCGGCTTTCCTGAGGCTGGCGGCGCGCTGGATGCGGCTGCCGAGCCGTGGATGTACCTAGACCCTTACGACTCCCACTTGGACGCCCGAATCGGCCGCGATGGTCTTACAGTGGAGGCGCTGCACGAGGACGGGTTCCAGTACCTCTGGAAGGGGGTCCGAGCCAACTACGGGATCACCAAGGGCGTGTACATGTACGAGGTGAAGGTGCTCGAACACCCTGCTGTGAAGATGCCCGACACGAAGCCTCAGAATCAGAATATTCTGAGAGTGGGCTTCTCGCAGCCACTCACGTCGCTGTTCTTGGGCGACACCGCCGAAGGCTGGGGTTGGGGAGGTACAGGAAAGAAGTCGAACAACAATAATTTCAACGATTACGGCAGCACGTTCACTTGCGGCGATGTTCTCGGCTGTGTCGTGGACATGGAGATGGGTTCTATATCCTTTCTCAAGAACGGCGAGTTCATGGGTGTAGCGTTCGACAACATACCCGCTGCGGCGGGGACTACGGGCATGTTCCCGCACATTCTGTTGAAGAACGTCAAATGTCAGCTGAATTTCAGGCGCGAGAACAAGTGGTTCTCGGGGGCGAGAGCACGGTATCCGCTCCACCCTGTCCCTCCTTTGCGCCAGACCCTCGTCGCTCCCCTTCCCCCAACACACCCTGGCTGATAATCGTTGGGCACTGGGCTTGGCTGGGATCGTCCCCGCACAGCGTCGCGTAGCACTGAGCTGCGTGGTTCTGGCCATCTTAAACACAGATCGATACCGCGCTGGCGCAGATCTGGTCCGAGGTCCCCGGGACGATTGGCGATTTCTTTCCAATCACACTAGTGCCCTTGAAGGCGTGCGGGCTTCGCCTTCTTTTGCTCTACCCTCCTTGGTGTTGCCTGCCGCTACGCTGGTCTTCGAACAGAGGGCCATGAGCACGGAGGAGCAGGATGACGAGGAGCAGGGTGAGGATGCGGTCCCGCCTCACCCTCCTCTTCCCTTCTCTGTCTTGTTGCTGGCGAGCACAGGTTCGACCCGCCGGGGCCCATGGTGAAGTTCTTCGAGGAGGCCCCGGAGTCCTCGTGCGTCGCCAACCCTGTGGCCCACCCGAGGAGCCTTCAGGAGCCGGCGATGGGCCCAAGACAGACCAAAAGCAGAGACCTCGAAATCAAGAACCAGCACTGCTCAGAGCGTCGAAGACGAGCAGCTGGAAGCAGGACTGTCAACGCCGATGTTTTTCCGGGAATGGGCCTGAGCCCAGGGTTCTCTTTTTGATGGTTGCCCCCCTCGCGAATTCAATCTGCGATCAATGACGAGACTGGTAGGGCTGGCGAATTAAACAGTTGAGGAAGTCCCTAGCGAAACGCTGTTTTTTTGAAATCCCGATCGATAAAACACAAGGTAAAGTAAGCATTTTCGTTTGTTGGGGATGTCTCGAGCGAAACGCTTGATTTGCATACAGTGTTGAGGATGTCTCGAGCGAAACGCTTGTTTTGTACTATAGATCGTTTCTCTCCTGGGGACCAAGATTAAGAGGATGTCTCAGGTGAAATGCTTGTTTTCACGTGCCCAGGTCTTGAGGATGTCTCGAGCGAAACGCTTGGTTTCACGCCTCCAGGGACGCTTGTTTTCACGCGTCCAAGTCGCCCAGGCAGATGTCTAGCATAAGGAATTGGTTGAGGATGCCTCCAGAGAGACGCTTGTTTTCGCGTGTCCAGGTCGCCCAGGCGGATGTCTAGCATGAAGATGTGTCGAGGATGTGTTGAGCGAAACGCTTGGTTTCACGTGTCCAGGTCGCCCAGGCGGGTGTCTAATATGTGGATCTGTTGAAGATGTCTCGAGCGAGACGCTTGCTTTCACGTGTCCAGGCCGCCCAGGCGGATGTCTTACATGAGGATGTGTTGAGAATGTCTCGGGCGAGACGCTTGTTTCACGTGTCCAGGTCGCCCAGGCGGATGTCTAGCATGAGGATTTGTTCAGGATGTCTCGAGCGAGACGCTTGTTTTCGCGTTTCCAGGTCGCTCAGGCAGATGTCTAGCATGGAGATGGGTTGAGGATGTGTTGAGCGAAACGGTTGGTTTCACGTGTCCAGGTCGCCCAGGTGGATGCCTAGCATGAGGATATGTTGGGAACGTCTTGAGCGAGACGCTTGCTTTCGCGTTTCCAGGTCGCCCAGGCGGATGTCTAACATGAAGATGTGTTGAGGATGTCTCGAGCGCCCGTGTGTTTTCACGTGTCCTTGCGCCCTTGGGAGGTCACGCCGCAACACCCCTTGCTCTGCCAGTCATTTGGCTGCGTTGTTCCAGCCTCCGCACGGCTTATTGCTGTGCCTACTCCTCGGCGCGCCGCGGTACCTCCGCCGTTCGTGGTGTCCCACTGCGCCCGCCCGCCAGCTCCAGCTGCTGGCAGCCGCCCTCCCGCCACCCTTGCCACCGTGGTTTGCCACGGCCGCCCACCGCGCTCTGGCCCTGCGCGCCTGGCTGCTGCTGCCCCCCCCCCGGCTGCTCATCGTCGAACTCTTCGACGTCTGAGCGTCCCTTCTTCCTCCCGGCCGTCCCCCCCCCTTCTCTCTGCCCGCCGGCCAATTCGCCGGTCAGTGCCCATTCCGCCTCACCGCTGACGAAAAACAGTTTCACGTGTCCAGGTCGCCCAGGCACATGTCTAGCCTGAGGGTTTGTTGAGCGAAATGCTTGTTTTCGCGTCTCCAGGTCGCCCAGGTAGACGTCTAACATGATGATTTGTTAAATATGTCTCGAGCGAGACGTTTGTTTTCACGCGTCCAGGCTGCCCAGGCAGATGTCTAGCATGAGGAGGCGTTAGCGTCTCCAACGAGACGCTTGGTTTCACGTGTCCAGGTCGCCCAGGCGGATGTCTTACGTGAGGATGTGTTGAGAATGTCTCGGGCGAGACGATTGTTTTCACGTGCCCAGGTCGCCCAGGCGGATGTTTCACACGAGAATTTGTTCAGGACGTCTCGAGCGGAACGGTTGTCGCAGTACAAGGCGTCGCAGTCCAAACCCGCCCGTCCGTGGGGCGCCTGGTGGCGCGCTGGCGCGTCCCCTGGCGCGTCCCTTGCGACGTTCTGGTGTGACGTGCCCTGGCACGTCTCCTGGCACGCCACTCGGCGTGGCACGTTTCCTGGCTCGTCCTATGTCGTGTTTCCTGACTCGTCCCCAGGCGTTTCCCCTGCCCGTTCCGTGGCGCGCCCATTGCAACGTTCCTTTGGCATTGCGTACTCTGGCCGCCCCATGGCACGCGCTTGGGCACGTCCCGTGGCAGGTCCTTGACACATCCAGGGCATGTCCTCTGAAGCGTCCCCTGACACCTCCCCTCGCGCATCCCCTATTGCGCCCTGGCACATCATGTGGTGCGTCCGTGAGCCTGCGCCCCGTTTCGTGTCGTTCCTTTTCGGAATCGAGTCGGATTTCGAGGTCGAATCGATTGAACGTCCTCCAGGTTTCCGCTTCAAGTAGTTCTGGGGGAGCTACTATATGCCCAGGCAGCTCGAGCTTAATATCCAGTTCAGTTCGGTCAGGACTCGGATGCAAAGGAGGACTCGCTCCACAAAGCTACAGAGCACAATCGCGGCATGGCGCATCATAATTCAGCACGACGCAGCACAGCACATTCCTCGGCACATTACATCAAGACCAACACACTCAACATTGCAATTGCCCGTCGCCCAATCAGGTGTCTTGTGATATGGAGCAGCACGGCGCCCCTGAAGCATCCTTGTTGCACGGTGCCCCTGAAACATCCCTGTTGTGTTGTGCTGCCCCGTTGTGTGTACATGCGCCACTCGCTGTCGTTTGATTTCTAGAGGCCTCTTTTGCCAATACCCTGAAAAAATATCACAGCAAAGCAACCTAACAGCCATGTGTATGAGCATATATGGAAGCATTCTTCTTTAGAGTCATGTTCGGATTTGACTGGAAGCGAAACGCTGCGATCAATAGTGGACGTGTCTGCAAAGGAGGCACTACTATCAACGAGACAGCACATTCCTTTTGTGCATTCCAAACCAGACGCTGCTATGCAGGGGTGTAGGTGCAAACGAGACGCTGCTATCAATGATTTCCGCCCCAAACGAGACACTGTTACTTACTACTACGGATGCGTCTGGAAACGAGACGCTGCTATCAATAGTGGATGTCTCAGCAAAGGAGGGAGGCACTGCTATCAACGAGACAGCACATCTAGAAGTAGTTGACAGCACTGCTATCAACTAGTAGTAGTTGACAGCACTGCTACTACTACTACTACTACTACTACTACTACTACTACTACTGCTACTGCTACTACTACTACTACTACTACTACTACTACTACTACTACTACTACTACTACTACTACTACTACTACTACTACTACTACTACTACTACTACTACTACTACTACTACTACTACTACTACTACTACTACTACTACTACTACTACTACTACTACTACTACTACCTACCTACTACTACTACTACCTACTACTACTACTACTACTACTACTACTACTACTACTACTACTACTACTACTACTACTACTACTACTACTACTACTACTACTACTACTACTACTACTACTACTAAAATTCCCCAAGGGGGTCGTCGGAGACGCCAAAGGCGTTGAAGTCCGAGGAGGAGAGGAGAAGGAACGGACGGAGAGGGAGGGCTCGGAGGCCCCTGGAGGGGGGATGTGCCCATCCGAGGGAACGGTGCACCCCCCCTCCCCGTCGTGAAAACGAGGCACCAGCCGTGGCAACGACCCCCCCTATCCCTCCCCGCGACCTGAGTTGACCACCCAAGCCAGCGGGGAGCGTCATAGGGGGCGGGGGTTCTGACGTCGATGAAAGAAGAAGGAGGAGAGCGGGAGGCACGGAACAGGCAGACGAAAACCCTTTTAGGCTTTACCCGGCGTGTGGGCATGCCCTTTTTGGCTGTTGCGGGGGCAGGCCCGCGCGGTCGCCCGCAGGCGACAGGGCGCCCTGGCCCTCTTCGTGAGCGCGCAGGCGCGTGGCGTACTTCATGCGCATGATTGCCCGCTGAAGCGCCCCGCGGCACGACAACGACGGTAAAAGGACACATTCGGTGACGCTGGAGCCCCTAATGCGACGAGGAAGCTACATATGCATCTTCTGTGACACTGGAGCTCCACAGGACAAGTCAGCTCAGCCTGCCTCAGCCTCAGCCTGCATCAACCTCAGTCTCAGCCTCAGCCTGCGTCAGTCTCAGCCTGCTGCGCTCCCGCATACCCCTTCGGCTTCAGCCTGCCTCAGCCTCAGCCTGCCTCAGCCTCAGCCTGCCTCAGCCTCAGCCTCAGCCTCAGCCTGCCTCAGCCTCAGCCTGTGCGCTCCCGCATACTCCTGCGGCCTCAGCCTGCATCAGCCTCAGCCTCGGCCTCAGCCTCAGCCTGCCTCAGCCTCAGCCGCGCCTCCGATGGCGCCGAGGTGGCTCCCGTGCGTGCCTGCGCCCACGGAACTCACCTCCGATGGCGCCGAGGTGGCTCCCGTGCGTACCTGCGCGCGCGGAACGCTTCTCCGATGGCGCCGAGGTGGTTCCCGTGCGTACCTGCGCGCACGGAACGCACCTCCGATGGCGCCGAGGTGGTTCCCGTGCGTACCTGCGCGCACGGAACGCACCTCCGATGGCGCCGAGGTGGTTCCCGTGCGTGCCTGCGCGCACGGAACGCACCTCCGATGGCGCCGAGGTGGCTCCCGTGCGTACCTGCGCGCACGCTCCGCCGGATTCTCCCGGTTTCTGCCGGCTTCCACCCGGGCCCCCCTGGAGTGTCATGATGCTCTCTTTTGACCCTACTAGAAACTTATCAGCGCAAGCTGTTAAGTAAAAACGCCAGAATCACACCGGCAGCGGAGCTGCGACACGATTCCCGTGCCCCACCTTTGCGCGCTCGTCTTTCCAGAGAGAGCAATCGCATGGAACTTAACTTGCTGAACAGTTTCCCTTACTAGGGGACTGTGCCTTGCCGCCATGGCGCTGTCTTCCCTTCGCTATCGGTCGAACGCCGACGTGTTGACACGATAAGAGACGAAGGGTGGCTCTTACATCTACGATGGCACGGTGGACAACTTTCACGAATTGGAATTCCGCGCTGAGATGCGCATGGGTGCCGC